TTTTTTTTTTAGTAAAATTTAGTGTTTTTTCTTGTTTGTTTTTTAATATCAATCATACTTGTCTACTTCCATGAATAATCAAAGAAGGGAGAGGAGAAAGTTTAGTCATCTTTGATCGTTTCAGATAGCTATAGGTGAAAAAGGTTTGGATAAAGCTGACTGTCAAAAAATCAGATTACTTTTGTCACTGAACAGACACTTAAAATATTATAACTGCCCTTGTTTCATGGGGTTTCCAAACTTTGTTTGTTTGTTTTTCTGCTGATATTTTTTGACTACTTTTCCTCAATTGCACTTTTTTTTCTGCTAAATTTTTCACTTAATTATTATCGGTTTTTTTTTTCTTGAACGGAGGGGATGGATAGGATAGAATATGCTGGAGGAGACGGTTATTGAGAATTGTGAGTACTAAGAAAAGCAAACAGTAAAAACATAGATGAAGTAATATTAATACCCTTAATATTAATAATATTAAGTAATATTAATAAGTAATATTAATATTAATACAGCAAAAAAAAAGAACAATTTTATCGGTCACCAATATCAAATGCTTTGATACAGTTGCCGGTGTTGTTGTTTACAATTTTTTTCCCAGCAGTGATCATCAATTAAATTCAACGTCATTTCAGAATTTTTGTTCTTTATCTATTTGGTTGTATAGCGCTCAAAAAGTGGTTTAGGAGAAAGAACAGTTTTTCTCTTCTTGGTTTTTCCTAATAGTCTTCAAAAAAAAAGCACTAATGATAATACTAATGATAATAAGAAGAAGAAGTAGAAGGAGAAGAAGGAATAGAATTTATCCTGCACAAAAATTCGTGTTCATTTTCTTTTTCTTTCTTTAAAAGCAGCTTTCCTTTTTGTCTTCTTCATTCTTTGTTCAATGAGAAAAAGAATAAGTAAAAGAAAAAAACTAATTTTTCTTACAAAAAGTGTAAGGCTTGATGAATGGGTGGAAAGCGGAGGAAGAGGAAGAGGAGAAGAAGGAGAAAGAAAGGAAGATGGAAAAGGTATGGAACCAGGAAAAGCGGCAATAGGTTTAAGGGTGGTAA